TTCAGCAGGTCTCTGGATTGTAAAAGGAACTAAACTAATCAACCGTGTGATTCATCAGTGCGTTATCTGTAGGAAGTTAAGAGGAAGACTCGAAGAACAGAGAATGTCAGATTTACCTATGGACAGAGTGAAAGTGGATCCTCCATTCACTCATGTGGGCCTGGATGTATTTGGGCCATGGGACATAATATCATGCCACACTAGAGGGGGCAGCGCTGAAATAAAAGATGGTTTGTCATTTTCTCTTGCTTAAGTACAAGGGCTGTTCATCTGGAAGTCATTGAGTCCATGTCAACCTCAAGATTCATTAATGCCCTCAGACGGTTCTTGGCAGTTCGCGGACCAGTCAAACACTTCAGATCCGGCAGAGGAACTAATTTCATCGGAGCCTGTCAAGAACTGGGCATCAATGCCGATGATCCAGAACTAAAAGGTTACTTGCAGGAGCAAGGTTGCGTATGGACATTTAATGCTCCCCACTCAACATATGGGAGGAGCTTGGGAAAGAATGATCCATATAGCATGGCACATTCTGGATGCATTGCTGCTAAAAATTTGTTTTTCCCGTCTTACCTATGAGGTTTTGATTACTCTCATGTCAGAGGTCATGGCAGTAATGAATGCTAGATCTTTACTTCCAATTTCTTCTGATCCTGACACACTGGAAGTCCTATCACCTGCAATGCTTCTCAACCAGAAGGCTAGTACTGTATCAGCACCTTTTGGGGACTTTGACATCAAGGACGTCTACAAGAAAGAATGGAGACAAGTTTAGTGTCTGGCAGATGCTTTCTGGAACGCTTGGAGGAGAGACTATCTTGCAACATTGCAAGTATGGAGGAAATGGACTGAGAAAAGACGGAACCTTGAGGAAGGTGATGTTGTCTAGCTTAAGGACTCCAGTGTGAAACGTAATGAGTGGCCGATTGGACTCATCGTGAAAACCATACCCAGCAGTGATGATAAAGTGAGGAAGGGGGAGGTAAAGATAATTAGAGAAGGATCTGCAAAAGTATACCTAAGGCCTGTCTTGGAGGTAGTACTACTCCTGTCTGGGAAGTCACAGAAGGATCAATGGCGGTATAATAATTTATTAGTGAACGCAGTCAAAAAGAATGTGCATGCAGTTCCTATGGGCTATAGATTCCATTGTTTAAACCTTGTAAATATATGTCTGTAAGTGCTAAATCTGATACTAAATAGTGCTTTTAAGTGTTGTGTAGATTAAAGGAAAGTGTAGATCAGGATTATTGCTATATTTTGTTATAAACAGACATGATTCGCGTTATTGGTAGCGTACCTTGTTTTAGCGTACTGCTAATTTCTCTTCTGTTTGTACATAAACTCATTTGAATATAATTTCTTTACATGTACATTCCTTTAAATAATGTTAAAAAAGGAACTATGTACAAAATCAAACTGTAATGTTAAGCTGGATGTGTATGAAAATGTGTACATAATGTTCATACATATTTTTTTCTTGTTTGTAGTTTTACATAAAAAGAATTGAGAAGAACAATCACCAGTAAAGTCACTAAACTTATGAAGACTGCTTTCTGGAGTTCTTTTCTGAAAGTGTACGCTATCTGTTAAACCTTTGCTCAAGCTACGCAATTGGTCAGAACAGAATAATCATCAAAGATCAGAACAAAAAAAATTACTTATGTGAAATCACCTAATTACGTCTCTATATTAACTGCGTGCAACAGCAAACTAGAACAAATCATTATATGATTTATTAATTGATAATCAATGGGAGCACTGGGCTTGTTTCCCTGCAATGATACGATCCCAACGAGGAGGGATGGGTGACAGTGAGACTTGAAGCGTGTTGCAGATGTCCAGTCTGCTCCGTAACTTTGTTTTAGTGAGCGCAGAAAAACCCACTTCGCAAAGGTAAGAAGTTGGAATAGGAAGTAAACATTTCAGAACCCTCACAGCTATCTTTGGATATTCCATCTTTATTTTACTCAAGAAGCCTGCAAGGGAGGATGTCTGAAACATACTTTTCAGCTCGCCATCATTTGCAAGTTTAATGGGCTGATGCTCTTCATGCAGTGGTATGGATGATTTGCGGGATACGTTTGCAAACGGGTCACGGACCGATTCCTTATCAATTCTTGGATCACTTGCATTTGGGAAGTAGCGCTCAAACTCGGCTGACAACAAAGCAATGTGATCGCAGATCAGCTGGGAGAGAGAAGGCCCAGGTTCTTTATTTCCCAAATGTCCGGACAATGTTGGAAACATTTCAAATGTGCCCTTTGGCACTCGCTGTCCCCACAGTTGCAACTTGGCTTTGAATGCAGACACTTTGTCTGCCAATTTGAAAACAGTTGTCATTCTCCCCTACAGTGACAAATTAAGTTCATTCAGCAGGTTGAACATTTCACAAAGGTACGCAAGTTTACCGATCCATTCCTCGTCACTGAAGTGTGCTGCCAGTGGTGACTTTTATTCTGAAAAAAATCTCTGAATTGGCTCGTAAACTCGTAAACTCTTGCTAAGGATCTCCCCCTTGACAGCTACCTGACTTCGGTGTGTAGCAACAGGTGTTTGTGTTCTGCTTCCATTTCTTCGCAATGATGTTCGAAAAGACAGGAGTTGAGGGCATTTGCTTTGATGTGGTTAATTATTTTTACAACATCATTTAGCACAGAGTGAAGTGCTGGTGACATTTTACGGCTGGCCAGCATTTGTATGACACAGTGTGTAGACTCGCATTTGGGCGCAACTTCTTTGACCCGGGTCGTGAGACCGGACAGCCGTCTGGTCATAGACGCAGTCCCATCTGTGCATATTCCAATGCAAAATGACCAGTTAAGTTTGCCTGATAAGTAGTCATTCAAAGACTTGAACATTTCTGCCCCAGTTGTGTTAGTTGGCAGTGAGCGTACACACAATATATCCTCATGCACATCGTCTTGAAATATACAGTGGGTACGGAAAGTATTCAGACCCCCTTAAATTTTTCACTCTTTGTTATATTGCAGCCATT